GCCCTGAGCTCCCCCCAGCCCTACCGCTGCCCCTATATCTTCACCCTTTAGAAAACGCACTCAATTCATTTGCAAAAAAATTTTTATTCATTTTGATTTTTCTTAAAAAAAAACAAAGCATTCCTCAAAAATTGTCCCCAGTCCCCATTTTTGGCTAATTTTCTTCTCCAAACATGTCTATCAACAACATGAAGGAAAAAAACCCTTCCAATGAAACAAACAACTTGAAAACACGAGACCCTTGAAATGTTTCCAGCAGCCCCAGAGCCGGGTTTGTGTTACGAGGAGAGAGATCCTGGAAGGACGCACTGAGAATCCCCCAGTGTATCCAATTCTTCCCGAAGCTGGGGTTTGTTTGTTTCTAACAGTGAAAGAGGAGGAAAAACTGCAATGTCGTAATTCAGTGCCCAGGAAAATGCTGATGTAAGTCAAGGAAGATCATAACATAAAACCACAACTTTGTGTAGACATCCGGCTGCGTATGACACTTCCACAGGGTTTTCAGTGCCAGTTGGGACAGAATAATTATGAAATCTCTGGACAATCGAACCATCAAATCCCTTGTACTTTGTTTCTGCCCTTGACCTGGCTAGATCACACCAAAACCAGATGAATTTGTGGATAATTTGACTTACAATTTATTCAGATTAATTTTCCTCAAATCAAGAATAAAACTGGGCCTTTTCCTACCACGTTTGCAGTCCACATCCCCTGGGGAAATGACTTCTTTGTTACTAGGATTTTGCAATTAATAAGAAACGTCTCAAAGAAAATGCAGCACTCACTAAAGAGTAGCAGGAAGGCAGGAATCGTCCTTGCATAATGGGTGTCTCTCTCGAGGAGCGAGGTCAGGATCTGAACCTCCCTGTTAATTTAGCAATTCAAACACGGCTTGTTTCTTAAATGCGCCCAGTGCTGCGTTTCATCGAAACGCCCGTCTGGAAATAAGAGCCAGGAAAGGCCCCGCCGCTGGCGAGATAGGACGGATAGTGATTCTTCAGAGCCACCACAAATGCTAATAACTTCCCAGGCTGTTTTTAACAGTCAAAGCAGCGTTTTGGATGCAGCGTGTGGGGGTTAATTAGTTAGTAATAATTCCAATTCCCTGCTGAAGATAGTTAAAATATACTCAAGTAGCAGAGGGGTCGCTGTGTTAGTCTGGATCTGCAATAAGGCTGGGGGGGTGGGCTACAGACTAACAGATGTATTGGAGCATAAGCTTTCGTGAGTGAAATGTCTGTTAGTCTATAAGGTGCCCCAGGACACTGTCACTTTTTTAAATGTACTGTGGATTTTAATAACGGCTGTTAATGATTAGTAGCCAAATAATTGCTAATAAAAGCCTCTGCAAACTAGCTGCCGGTTTTATTAAATTTCTCTAGAGGCTAGAGGTTTAAAAATAGGGAAAATTGCTAATATACCACCCCGGAAAGTTCAAACAACCCCAATTCCTGGGATTTCAGTCAAGTTGCCCCAGGATCTTACTATTATCTAAGACAGTCATAAGCGCCACGCCGGCCAGACCAACAGACGTTACCCACACGATTTATACAATTTCCCTGGAAATCGGTGGTGGATATTAAGAGCAAAATGATGATAAATCCGCAGAAAGGGGGATTTATTACAAACAGTAATATCTGCAGACGAAATCTGGGGGAGTTTTCATGGCATGTACATTCCCCGAGCGCTACCTGCTAAAACCCTCGGCCCCTTGACTCGAGCAAAATAATATTAATTAATTAACAATAATAATACATTGAAAAATACCGAGAGAGACGAAAAACAACCCTCCCCCCAAAAGCACTTTAATCCGCCAGTTTCAAAACCCCCCGGGTGAAAATCCCTCCAAAGCGGGTGCGGGGCGAAGCTGGCCCCTCGTCCCGGCCCGCGGGAATTGAGGGGCATCCCCCCCGTGCCCTGACACCACCCCTCCCCCGCTAACACACTGATATTAGTTAATTGCCTTTTGTTCTATAGAATAATTAAGGTTTTTTTATTACAAAAATTATACATTAAAACAAAAAAAAATCCCCCAATGAGACCCCCACCACCAAAACTGGAGAGGAGGGGACCCCTAAACCTGACCCTTGCTCCACTGAACCAGCCCATTCACCCCCAAACTGGGCCCACAATGCACGCCCTAACCAGCCCCCCCCCATCTGCCCCCTTCATCCCAAACTGGATCCAGCCATGCTCCCTGCCCCCTGACCATGCTCCCCCCATAGGGACCTGCTTTCCCCTAACCCTCTTTCCTAGGCAGATTCTGGAGGGGGGGGGCTGCTACTACTACCTGGGTGACCCCTACAGGGCTGTGGTCCCCTATCACTCAGGATGGTGGGGGGGGGGGCAAGATTCCCTGCCGTCCTGTTTGGGGGCTCTGCAGGAAAGTGGGGGCAAAGTAAGGCCATGCCCCCGTCCATTGGCTCTGCCCCCAAATGCATCATCCCACCCCATGAGCACCCTGCCTGTTTTCCCATCATCCCCTGCTCCTGCTGCTCTAGCCTTAGCCCTCTCCCTCATCTGCATAGCCCTGCCCATTAGAAAGCCCTTGTTTTGACCTCAGTATGACCTAGCTCTGCCCATTGGACTGCGTGGCAACTGTCATCTGCATAGCCCCACCCACTGGAATGCAGAGCCCCCTTATTTGTATAGCCCCGCCCACTGGAATGCAAAGCCCCCTCATCTATATAGCCCAGCCCACTGGAATGCAAAGCCCCTTATCTGCATAGACCCGGCCATTTAGTACTGAAGCCCTGCCCCCTTCAGCCAAATGCCATCCCTCTTTTAATAGCTCCACCCCCATGGTTCTTATGTCCCCTCCCCCTCTCTTTGGCTCCACCCCTGGGTTCCCAAGGCCCTGGCTAAAGTACCTGAGGGCCAACCAGGGGCCTCCGTTCCACAGATGGCCCTGCCCCCCCTTTGTACACAGACCAATGGGAGATTCAGCCCAGCCCAACCCAACCCAGCAAATGGGAAATAGAGCCAAGCTGATTGGCTAGCTCATGTGCCCAAGGCTGGGGGGAGGAGCCAGCATGACCTTTGGGGAGGCAGTCACCCTGCTGTCTCCCTTGGCTTCCCCTCTGGTGAGGGGAAAGTTGAGAGGTCGTAGAGGACGCTGATGGGCCTGAACTTTGATCTTTCCCCAGGAGGTCAAAGGACACATGGTTACACAAGGGGAGAGGGTCAGGGGTCACCCCGCAGGCTACTGAGCGCGCTCAGCACGCTTTGGGGGGCAGGAAGGAATGTCAGAAAGGGGGAGGGGCCAAGGGGAAGCCCCCACCCTTCACATATTGTCCAGCAGGGAAGGGGAGGAGCTTAAGGGGAGGAGCCAGAGAGAAGCCCCGCCTCTCACACCTTGTCCAGCAGGGAGCGCTGGCTGTGCAGCAGGGGGGCGGAGCCGGGGAGGAGCCAGGGGAATCCCTCCGCCCACACCTTGTCCAGCAGGGGGCGAAGCCGGGGAGGCGGGCGGGGCCGGGGAGCCCCACCCCTCACACCTTGTCCAGCAGGGAGCGCTGGCAGTGCAGCAGCCGCTTGGGGGTCCCGCGGCGTTTGAAGACCAGGATGGCGGCGCCCAGCGCCAGGGCGCAGAGCAGCAGCATGACAGGGAGCACCACAGCGGCCATGTCCACCGCCCCGCCCCCCGCTTCGTCCACCTCAATGACGATGACCTCGGTCTCCTCCCGCTCTTCGTCCTCACGCCGGCCGCCCCTGCAGCCCATCCAGTCCCGCAGCGCCGACTTGGGGTAGCCCGGTTCCACCCGCAGCTGCTGGTTGTTGAACTTCCAGTAGCGACCGCCCTTGTAGAAATAGGTGAAGGCTGCGTGGCCGGGGGGGGGCAGGGCGAAGAGACACGCGGATGGGAGGAGACAGACAGACACGGGGATAGACAGACGGGAGGAGACGGACGGACGGACACGGGGATAAGAGGACAGAGAGAGAGATGGAGAGAGACGGACGGACGGGGAAGAGAGGGCCGGACGGGCACAAGGGCCAGACAGGGAGGAGACGGATGAACGGACAGATACACAGCCAGATAGGGTAGAAGAGAGACAGACACAGAGTCAGGCAAGGAGGAGATGGACAGATGGACACAGGCCCAGACGGAGGAGGAGATGGACGGGGGACCGGGACGGGGATGGACGAGGAGTAGCGGGAAGAGAGGAACAAAGCAGAAGCTAATTAGCCGCGTCCCTCAAAATCCCTCCCCCACCGCTGGCCAAGCCCTATTGACCCACCTGCTGATGTCAGACCCAGCAGAGCCTTGGTGGGGACCCCACAGCCCACCACTCGCCTCCCCTCATCACCCCAGTTTCCCCCCGACGCCTCCCCATTGATGTCCCGGCTAGGTGGGGCTCGGCCGAAGCGCTGCCCCCCTCTGTCCCCCATGTCCTCGCCGTACCTTCATCGCTGCCCATGAAGGCCCCACGGGGTGACTCGGGAATCCCCTCCCAGACGGCGACGTTCTTGGGGTACTCGGAATCCACCGAGCGGCTCTCCTCATTGAAACGGTAATATCTGTACGGGAGGGGACAATGAATGGGGGCTAAGAATGGGGGGATCCCAGCAGGGGTCTCTCTGGGGGGCGCTGACAGCACAGGGGGTTGCCGAGGTGGGGGTCCCAGTGGGGGGATCTCTGGGGGGGTGCTGACAGCATGGGGACCCCAGGATGAGGAGTGGGGGGTCCCAAAGGGGGGCTATCTGGGGGTCGCTGACAACACAGGGGGACCCGGGTTGGGGAGTGGGGGTCCCAGAGGATGATGCTCTGGGGGGCACAGACCACTCAGGGGGACCCCAGGGTGGGGAGTGGGGGGTCCCTATGAGGGGGTCGCACAGGGGACATCTCGCACTGACTTGTTGCCCCGGAAGAAGTAGGTTTTCCCGCTAGGCATCCAGAAGAGGGCAGCGTCGATGCGATCAGTGGGGAGCCCCCGGCCCAGCTCCCGGAGAGGTTTGGGGTACCCAGGCTGCAGGATGGCTTCATCGAACACCCAGTGCTTGTCACCTGCGGAGCGTGAGAGCAGGGTCAGCCCCAGGGGGGAATGGCCCCATCCCCCCACCCCCCAACCAGCCTCCCCCCCAGGAAAAGGCCCCGCGTCCTGGTACCTTTGAAGAAGACAAATTTCCCATCTTTCCTCTCATAGGCCGTGCTGATTGACGCTGGGAGACCGACCCAGAACTGGCCAATGGGGAGTGGGTACCCATCCATGACCCGGTTATTCCGGACCCGCCAGAACCAGCGCTCCTGGGACCAGAGAAATTCACACAGTTCTGCCGGTGCCCCTCCCTCCCAACCCACAGCCCCCTGCCAGCCCAGCCCTGGGATCCCCCCAAGCCATGCCAGTGCCCCTCACTCCCAACCCGCAGCCCCCTGCCCTGCCCCCCCAGCTCTGCCGGTGCACCTCACTCCCAACCCACAGCCCCCTGCCAGCCCAGCTCTGCTGGTGCCCCTCTCTCCTGACCCACAGACCCCTGCTAGCCCAGCCCATGGCTCCCCGAGCCCTACTGGTGCCCCTCACTCCTGACCCGCAGCCCCTACACACACCTTGAAGACGAACATCTCCCCACGCAAGACAGCGATGGTGTCAAAGTTGCCGTCACAGATGTTGGGGCCGTAAGGGGGGTTGTTGGGCTCGTCAGGCACATGGGGCCTGGCTGTGGTGCGGGGCACCGGAGGGGCCTTGGTGGGGATCCCCGACTTGCTCCCTGGGCAAAGGAACACAAAGGGTTAATTGAGAGCGGAGGAGTCAGGGACTATGGGAGGGTCTGTGTGGGGGTCAGGTGTTGTTCCCCATACGCCCAGTGCTGGGGGCTGTGGGTGACCTGTTATTCAGCGTGAGGTTCAGGGGGTGAAGTTATGGGCTGCTGGCTGGGATTGGGATGGAGGTAGAATCAGCATGAAGGGCGAGGGGGTGTCACACCCAAGGGAGTTAAAGGTTAGGGTCAGGGGTGAGGATGGGGGTCACACCCCAAAAGAAGAGCAGGGTCCCCCGCACTGTGAAGCCACAGGTGCCCTGTTGGTGGGCTAGGAGCTGGGTGGTCCCGCGCTCCTGCATGCCGCGCCAATGGGAAGGGTTTGCAGTGTGGGGGCAGGGGGCCGTCGCACCGTAGAGCTGCTGGATGCCGCGCAGGTCATCGTCCGGCAGCACAAAGTTCTCGGTGTCCATCCACTGGTAGAAGGGCGCCATGATGGCCGAGGGGTCGTTCGAATGCTCCAGCCCCAGCGCGTGGCCCAGCTCATGCACGGCCACCAGGAAGATGTCGTTTCCTGCGGGAGCGGGAGCATCAGTGTGTGGCATGGCCTGATGAGGATGTCACCACGGCCACCCGGGAACAGGGTCTTCACCATATCCACCAGGGAACAGGGACGTCACCACATTTGCCCCAGAACGGGGTGTCACCGTATCCACCCAGGAATGGGGACACCACCATGTCTACCCAGTACCAGAGACATCACCATGGCCGACTGGGAATGGGGACACCACAGGAACAGGGACACCTCTGTGTCAGGGACGCCACCACGTCTGCACAGGTGAGATTATTCCCCCCCCTTGGAAATGGGACATGGGAAGGACTGGCCCAATCCAGCCCCAGAGCAGGGGACTGTCTGGCTCAGGGGGCAGGGAATGCGACACGGGGCCTTTCCCCTCTAGGAGGCGCCGACTCTGATCCAGCCCCGGGGGGACTGGCTGGCTCAGGAGGGTGGGGAATGGGACACGGGGCTTGTCCCTTCCAGGGGACGCCGGCTCCCATGAGGCCCCAGAGGGAGGATTCGGAGGGTTCCCACGGGTGTGGAAAGGGGAAGTGACGCCATAGTTAGCCCATAGTCAATGAGTTGGGGGAGGGGACTTTCCCAGCATCTCCTTCCCTGCCCTGCCCCCCTCCCTAGCCTCCCTGCATCCCCGAAGAGAAAGTCCTGGGCCCTCCCCACCATTGATTCCCCTCCCCCTTCTTGCCATGCTCCCAGCCCCCCACGACCTCTCCCGCCTCTCCACCGATACCCCATCTGCCCCCCTGCCTACCCCGAGCCCCCTATGCCCTCTCCCTTACCCCCGAGCCCTTCACCCGCTCCCAACCCCCACTCACCATTGAGGTCATCGTTGCGGACGGTCCAGGGCTCGGCCAAGTCGAAGTGGGTGTCGCCGCCAATGTGGGGGCCGGGGAAGTAGGCGTGGGCTAGGAAGCCCCCCTCCCCGTCGAAGGGGGTGCTGTCGCCATGGAAGCCCTCGGCGAAGAAGATCATGATGTCGGCCTGGGGCGCCCGGCCCTGGCGCACGTGGGCGTAGGGCACCTCACGGAAGCGCAGCGGCGTGGCCGCCCCCCACACCCCAAAGGCCCGGCGGATGGCCTCGAATGTGGCCACCTCACCCACCTTGGGCGTATAGTTCTGGATGCTGGTGGGGGGAGGGGGGATACAGCCTGGGTCAGACCTGCATGGCTCCCCCCCCCCATTGCTGCCCCATGGTCACTGCATGGCCCCCCACGTCCCGTCACTGTCCCATGCCCCTCACTGCCCCATGGCCCCCATCACTGCTCCAAAGTGCCCCCCCGTCATGGTCTCATGGCCACCAACCTCCTGTCACTGCCCCCCAGCCACCTCACTGGCCCCTCAGCCCTGTCACGGCCCCCAGACCCATGGCTACCCCATTGCCCCACCACAGCCCACGGCTCCCTCACAGACCCATGGGCTCCCCATCACTACCCCACAGACTCTCCCCCACTTGGCCCCTTTGCCCCAACCCACCTGCCGCAGCCCCCCAGAGCCCACCCAGTTCCCCATGGCCCACTCAGCCCCATGGCCCCCCAACTCTCTGCACCTTCACATCCACCGCCAGCCCCTTATAGCCCCTCACACACTCTTCCTGGCCTCTCACCAGAACGTAATCTCGTTGTGCTGCCATTTCAGGCCCTGGATTGCGTAGCGCCGGCGCCGCACATTGGCCTTGATCTCGGCCCCGAACTTATCTGGGACGCCACAGCGGGGCCGCTTCATGGCCCTGAGGGAGGGGAGAGGAAGGGTGAGCCTGGAGGGGCAATTTCGTTAGAACTTGTCCCCTGGGGGCAGAGTCTCCCAGCACTTGGGGCAATTTTTTGTGTGCATGAGGGTTGAGATCCCGTCTCCTCAGTGTCATGTGGCCTGAAGTTCCATAGGCTCATCACACCCAAGGGACCATTGCACAGACCCTGACCGAGATCAGGGCCCTCTTGGTGCTGGGTGCTCCACAGAGCCCAGGTCACTAGTAGAGCTGGGAATAGAACCCAGGCATCCTGCCCCTTCCCCCATAATATCACAGCTTTGTAGCCTTGTCGTTACCCCCAGAAGGGAGCAAAGATCCGACTCCTGGGCCATTTCATCCCTTCCCAAATCCCGCTACAGTTCCTGGCTTCATACCTGCCCTGGGGCTCGGATAGGGGCACCAGTTTGGAAAAATCCCATGATTCTCAGTGGTGGGAATTTCCAAAGGGGCCGTTCCCATTGGCGCCCAACCCACACTGACCCTTAATGGAGATAGAACCCAACCTCCATTGGTGCCCAACCCCCATTGACACCTCATGGTGCTAGACCGCAACGTCCATTGGCACCCAACCCCCATTGACACCTAATAGTGCTAGACCGCAATGTCCATTGGCACCCAACCTCCATTGACCCTTAATGAGGATAGAACCCAACATCCATTGGTGCACGACCCCCGTTGGCCCCTAATGTTGCTAGAACCCAACGTCCATTGGTGCCCAACCCCCATTGACCCTTAATGGTGCTAGCAGGGCCGGCTCCAGGCACCAGCTTCTCAAGCAGGTGCTTGGGGCGGCCACTCCGGAGAGGGGCGGCAGGTCCAGGTATTCGGCGGCAATTCGACAGACGGTCCCTCACTCCGCCAGGAAGACCCTCCGGCCGAATTGCCGCCGCAGATCGCGATCGCGGCTTTTTTTAGATCGCAATCGCAGCTTTTTTGTTTTGTTTTGTTTTGTTTTGTTTGTTTGTTTGTTTGTTTGTTTGTTTGTTTGTTTGTTTTGGCTGCTTGGGGCGGCCAAAACCCTGGAGCCGGCCCTGGGTGCTAGACCACAACCTCCATTGGCACCCAACCCCCATTGACACCGAATGGTCCTAGACCGCAACGTCCATTGGCGCCCAATCCCCATTGACCCTTAGTGGGGATAGAACCCAACGTCCATTGGCGCTCAACCCCCATTGACACCTAATGGTTCTAGACCTCAACGTTCATTGACACCCAACCCCCATTGACCCTTAATGGTGCTAGACCGCAATGTCCATTGCCACCCAACCCCCATTGACACCTAATGGGGATAGACCACAACGTCCATTGGCGCCCAACCCCCATTAACCCTTAATGGGGATAAAACCCAACGTCCATTGGCACCCAACCCCCATTGACACCTAATGGTGCTAGACCGCAACGTCCATTGGCGCCCAACCCCCATTAACCCTTAATGGGGATAAAACCCAACGTCCATTGTCACCCAACCCCCATTGATCATTAATGGGGATAGAACCCAACGTCCATTGGTGCCCAACCCCCATTGACACCTAATGGTGCTAGAACCCAATAGCCATTGGCGCCCAACCCCATTGACCCTTAATGGGGATAGAACCCAACATCCATTGGTGCCCAACCCTGATTGGCCCCTAATGGTGCTAGAACCCAACGTCCATTGGTGCCCAACCCTGATTGGCCGCTAATGGTGCTAGAACCCAATGTCCATTGGCACCTAACCCCCGTTGACGGCTAATGGGGCTAGAACCCAACGCCCATTGGTGCCCAACCCCCATTGAACCTTAATGGGGATAGAACCCAATGCCCATTGGCACCTAATGGGGTTAGAATGCAATGTCCATTGGTGCCCAACCCCCATTGACCATTAATGGGGCGAGAATCCAATGTCCATTGGTGCCCAACCCCCATTGACCATTAATGGGGCGAGAATCCAATGTCCATTGGTGCCCAACCCCCATTGACTCTTAATGGGGATAGAACCCAACGCCCATTGGCACACAACTCCCATTGACACCTAATGGAGCTAAAACGCAATGTCCATTGGCGCCCAACCCCCACTGACCCTTAAAGGGGATAGAACCCAATGTCCATTGGCACCCAACCCCCATTGACACCTAATGGTGCTAGACCGCAACGTCCATTGGTGCCCAACCCCCATTAACCCTTAATGGGGATAAAACCCAACGTCCATTGGCACCCAACGTCCATTGATCATTAATGGGGATAGAACCCAACGTCCATTGGTGCCCAACCCTGATTGGCCCCTAATGGTGCTAGAACCCAACGTCCATTGGCGCCCAACCCCCATTGACCCCCTAATGGTGCTAGAACCCAATGTCCATTGGCGCCCAACCCCCATTGACCCCTAATGGGGATAGAACCCGTCTCATAGCACTAGAACTCAAAGCTCGGTAGGCTCAATGGGGGTGGTTCTCCTGGGGCTTGGTCGTGGGATGACTCACCTCATGGTGTCGGCGTCAGCGGTCCCAGTGATCTGCAGACCGTAGAAGCTCTGCATGGCGCTGATGGCAGCTGAGAGCGACTGGGGTGAGCGCTGGGTATGGGTCCGCAAGTCGCCGGGGGGGAGGTACCCATACTGCTGCAGCCAGGCCTGGGGAGGGAGAGAGTCAAGGGGGGCCCACAGACCCCCACAACACCGACCAGCCATCCTCCCTCCCCCTTAGCAGTCCCCCATGCCCAGCTCACACACACCTGCCCTCCATCCCCCATAAATACCCACATCTGCCCTCCTTACCCCGCATGCCCCCAACTCCCACAATGACCCCATCTGCCCAACACCAACCACCACACATACCCCTCACCGATCACTCCCTCACCCCCACCCCACCCCTATAGTGACCCCTAAACCCCATCCCCCACACATGCCCCACAACACCCACCCCCATCCCAGACATTGTCCCCCTATAGCCCACCCCACCACAGCCTGAATCCATGCAAGAGCTCACCCACCCATCCCTGGCATCATGTACTCTGTGACCCAAGGCTGGGCTAGCAGGGGGCTGCGGGTCTGGAGTGAGGGGCCCAGGGCTGGGCTAGCAGGGGCTGCAGGTCAGAAGTGAGGAGCACTGGCAGAGCTGTTGGGGGGGTGGTCTTGTTGAATAAGGGCTGTTAGAGGCAGGAAGTGGGGGACCCTTAACCCAGTGTGCTCTGGATTGTGCCTACTGAATCTATTCCTCACCCATGCTCCCGGTGGCCGGCACCCCCTCATTCCGGTTCACCTCCCAGAGCCCTCCAGTTGATTTATCCTCTGGCTTCGTTTCTTCCCTCCCCCGCCCCAGCTCTAAATACAGCCCATACACCTCCCCTGCTTCCGCTCCCCCACCCCCAGGGGCTAAATTTTCTCTTCCAAGCGAGACACAAACAAGTGTCTCCCACTCGCTGGCGGGCAGATCCCACCTGCTCGACACGCGGTTATCCCTAGCCCGGTTCGTTCATTCTTCCCAGCCCAAACCCCCAGCGCTCGAGTTCCAGGTTCCGAGTCACCCAGTTCCCCTGTCGGGATTTTTACCCTGCCCTTGTCTCAGTTCAACTCTTTTCCATTGGGGGGCCTGGGGCTGCGAGCTGTCCCTGCACTCGTTTATTCCGGGCCTGCTTCGTTTGTTCTTCCGACCGAAAGGTGGAAGGGAAAAGGCTGCCTGGCCCCCTTCGCTCCTGACCGGTCCACGGTATTTGTTGCTTCTTCCTGCCTTTCCCTGCACTGCTCCGTTGGGCAGCTGGCTCCTCCACTCTCCTGCGGGCGTGCGGTGGGCACCGGTGTCCAGCACCTAAGCGCTGCCCTTGGCCCCTATCCTGAGCTATCCCAGCTCCTCGCTCACTTCTGCAGGCTCTCTCCCAAGCCTGGGGCAGGAAAGGCGGCGCGCTGGCCCGGTCCCCCCTTCCCCACATTCCCTCTCCCTTCGCCACACAAGCAGGCCTTTGTGGCTGGGGGATTTGGTGGTGAGTTCCCCCCCCTCACGGGGAATCCCAGCCAGCTCCCCCCCACCCCCACCCCCTGGAGCATGGAAGAGAAGGAAGGAGACGGACTTGGCTCGGAGGAGCGAGAGGGCAGAACGAGCAGAGAGTTCGGTGGAAGCCAAGAAAACGCTGGCCACAGAAACAGGGTGGGAGGCCAGGGCTTTGGTGAGGTCCTTCAAGGAATGATTGTGTAATTGGAACAGCCTTCGGATTGGGAACGAGAGAGAGTGTGTGAGTGCGTGTGTGGGGGGGATATATAGCTAGAGTGGATGGGGATAGACAGATAGATTAGATTAGATAGAGTGGATGGGGCTGGAGAAAGAAAGAAAGAAAGAAAGAAAGAAAGAAAGAAAGAAAG